GACGATCATCAACTTCGGTGTGAACATTTTGAAACTTTTCACATTTGGTTCAAGGAACATGTATGTATTTAACTTTATAGATTCTAGTTACTTAAGTCGATCTACATTTTAAATTTTACATTTTCGTGTTAAATAGGTCCAAACTTTGCGAAGGACTACTGATGTCATACTTTCTGAAGAGCTGATTTGGGCTTCATGTATGAGACGTGGGATGCATGTCTGAACAGTTGCATGTTGTTTCGAAATGAGGACGCCAATCTTGATAAATGTGTCATATGCAACAGTTGTAGATGGAAATCAAATGGTGATGGTGGTTCAAATGGTCCTAACACAGGTGGCAAACAAGTAGCTGCAAAACAGATGAGGTATTTTCCTTTAAAGTCAAGGTTGCAGAGGTTGTTTATGTCATCCAAGACGGCCAAGTTAATGAGATGGCATGCAGAGGAATGAACTGATGATGGTGTCTTCAGGCATCCTGCTGACTCCCTTGCATGGAAAGATTTTGACCGTCGGAATATTGAGTTTAGTAATGATTGCCGAAGTGTAAGGCTTGGCTTAGCATCTGATGGTTTTAACCCATTCAGGACGATGAACATAGTTCATAGCACTTGGCCTGTTGTGCTCGTTCCATACAACTTGCCGCCATGGATGTGCATGAAGCAACCATTTCTAATTTTAGCCGTGCTTATTGACGGCCCAAAAGGACCTGGTGACAAGATTGATGTTTATATGCAACCGTTGATTGAGGAGTTGAAAGAACTATGGAATGACGGTGTCTCCACATTTGATGCATCAACAAATCAAATGTTTCAAATGCATGCAGCTTTACTGTGGACAATTAGTGATTTTCCTGCATATGCAAACTTGTCAGGATGGAGTACTAAAGGCGAATATGCATGTCCTTGTTACAATAGAGAAACTACATCGTGTTGGTTGAAGCATAGTAGGAAACAATCATACTTGAGTCATCGTAGATTTTTACCTAATGGCCATAAATTCCGAAAGGATAAAGTATCATTTGATGGTAGTCGGGAAGTCAGATTCAAACCCAAATTGTTGTCTGTAACTGAGATGCTGCTACAATTAGAATCTGAGGGTATTTTAACCCAATACAAGAGGGATGACCTTAAGGAGAGGCATAGGAGACAAGTAGAGAAAGAGAAAGTTGGACATCGCACCCATAGCTGGAAGAAAAAGAGTATCTTCTATGAACTGCCATATTGGGAGCACAATCTAATTAGACACAACCTTGATGTGATGCATATAGAGAAGAATGTTTGTGATAATGTGTTGTGGACAATATTAGGGGTTGCAGGAAAATCGAAGGATGGTGTTAATGCTCGGCGTGATTTACAAGAAATGAAAGAAAACCCCTACATTTGCAATTAAGAGGGTCGAATAAAGTTTATTTACCACCGGCAAATTCACGATGACCAAGGATGAGAAAGATTTGTTCTTGAAAGTATTGAGGAAGTTAGAGTTCCCGACGGGTATTCATCCAATATATCGCGTCGTGTGCGCTTACATGATAGAAGTATTGGGGGTCTTAAGAGCCACGATAGTCATATTCTGATGCAACAACTAATTCCATTGGCCATTCGAAGATCGTTACCGAAGAATGTAATTGAACCTTTGATTGAATTGAGCAATTTCTTTAGACAATTGTGTTCCAAAGTCAATCGTGCGACAGATTTGCAATATATTCAAGATCGTATCGCCGTAACACTTTGTCATCTAGAGAAAATATTTCCTCCTACTTTTTTTGATATAATGGAGCACTTGCCTATACATCTAGTTGACGAAGCATTATTGGGTGGAGCGATTCAATTTCGATGGATGTATCCAATTGAGAGGTATCTTCTTACTTTGAAGCAATATGTGCGTAATAGAGCTCGTCCAGAAGGTTCAATTGCTAAAGGATATCTTATGGAAGAATGCATGAATTTTTGTGCACAATATCTCAATGATGTGGAAACTAAATCTAATCGACCCACGAGGAACTACAGTGGTGATGATAATCTGGGTCGTGCTGTTGGTGAAAGTACAAGCTTTTATCTTGATAACACTTCTTGGGTACAAACTCATTGGTATGTCTTATTCAATACAAGCGTGGTTCAACCATTCATAAAGTAAGTTATGTCACTCATTCAATATTTTATTATGTTTTATTGAATTTTGAACCAAATTTTGTTTTTTGATAAAATTTCAATTTACACAGCAAGCATCTTGAAGAACTTAAGGTCAAAATGCCTCGTGTTGACGATCATCAGCTTTGGCGTGAACATTTTGAAACTTTTCACATTTGGTTCAAGGAACATGTATGTATTTAAATTTACAGATTCTATTTACCTAAGTCGAACTATATTTTAAATTTTACAATTTTTATTATTTAAAATAGGTTCAAACTTTGCGAAGGACTAGTGATGTCACATTTTCTGAAGAGATTACTGTATTGGCAAATGGTCCTCATAACCTGGTAAGGAGGTTCAATGGGTATATAATGAATGGGTTTTGGTATCGAGTAAAGGCCATGGATGATCGTCGATCCACACAAAATTGTGGTGTAGCTTTGAAGGCAGATACTATAAGTTATGCTAGTCGGAAAGACAAGAATCCTCGTGTGGGGTCTGTGTACTATTATGGACAATTGACAGATATTGTTGAGATTCGATATTCCAATGAGAAGAAGCATGTGTTGTTTAAGTGTGATTGGATTGACAACATTCACGGGAAGATACAAGATGTCTTCAATTTCACGTTAGTCAACTTCAATCATTTGTTGTATCGAGATGATAGAATTGCTAATGAACCTTTCATCTTGGCATCCCAAGCAGAGCAAGTTTGGTATGTTGCAGACCCGTTACAACCAGACTGGCAAGTGGCGGTGAAGAAGTCTCAAAGAGGTTTATTTGATATGAGTTCGACTGATCTACAAATTGAGCCATATATGAGCCAACAATTGGAAGAAAATATAGTGCTTCATGATGAAGAAGTTAGTTGGGTGAGGGAAGCCGCAGAAGGGGAAACAGTTGATGTTCAAATAGGTTGATATTTAATCAACATCAGTAATTCACTTAAGGCCAAGGTTGTAGTTAATCATCAGTTTCTTAATTTACTTTGTCTTTGTAATTGTATTAGTTCAATTAATGTCATATTATAGTTGATGACAAACCATTATCTATGTTTCTAATTAATGTTATATTGCTTGCAGATTATTATGGGAAGGAAGAGGAAACCTGATCATCCCCGGCGCATGATGTCCGACGTGGTACGTAAGAGGACATCAGCGGCACCACCATCAGAGGAGGCATCACATCGACCACCATCAGAAGGGCCATTAGTGCCACCATTAGAGGAGGCATCACAGCGAGCACCATTAGTGCCACCGCATCGACCACCATTAGTGGCACCACAGCAGCTATCATCTACTCAGCCACCATGCCTACCATTGCTGCATCCACCATCAGTGGCACTACCATTAGAGGAGGCATCACAGCGAGCACCAATAGTGCCACCGCATCGACCACCATTAGTGGCACCACAACAGCTATCATCTACTCAGCCACCATGCCTACCATTGCTGCATCCAGAAGGGCCATTGAGGCATCACATCGACCACCATCAGAAGGGCCATTAGTGCCACCATTAGAGGAGGCATCACAGCGAGCACCATTAGTGCCACCGCATCGACCATCATTAGTGCAACCACAGCAGCTATCATCTACTCAGTTATCACAACGAGCACCATCAAAGGGGCCATTAGTGCCACCGCATCGACCCCCATCAGTGGCACCACACCAGCTATCAGCTACTCAGCCTCTAAGCTTACCATCGGTGCGTCCACCATCAGTGGCACCGCAACAGCTATCATCCCGACTAGAGTCATCGGCTTATGAGCCATCCGCAGGTATATAAATTTGCTTTGATTTGTATGAAAATTATTTAAATATATATTTATTTGTTCTCATTACATATAACTTGTTTATTTTCATTGTATTTTTCAGATCCTTCTACTTCTTCACAGCCTCACTCAGGTATAAGAAATTGATTTGTATTGACATTATTTAAATTTGCATTTGTTTATTATCATTGCATATTGTTTATTCTTATTGTATCTCACAAGTCATGTTAGTTCTACATCAACCTCGAGTAGGCGTGGTAGAGGATGTGCCAAGGGCATTAGGGAGTGGGGCACCGGTACCAAATTGGACATACAATTTGATGAAAATTACTGTCCAATAGGGGATAACGTGTCTAAGTTAACTACTCAACTTGGCATTATTGTGCGAAATGGTAACATTGTTCCTCTTACTTTTCTTGACTGGAATACTGTGCCTGATGATATTCTTGATGCTATCTGGAAGGATGTGAAGGTAAAAGTATATTTTTGTCCAAAAATTTAAATTCCAAAATTGTGTTATTATTATTTAAACCTTGAAATTGTGTTTTATAGGACAATTTGAATATATGTCCAGAGGAGTACAAGCCAATCTGCATGAAAAACTGTAACAGCATATGGAAGGATCACAAGAATAAGATTAAGTCTAAGTATTTCAAGCCTAGAAGCGAAGATCCTAATCTGAAGGATGATGTTCCTTTGCACATTGTCCCAAGCCAGTGGGAAGAACTTGTGGAGTATTGGCGTACTTCCGATGCTGAGGTATACAAATAAGTTATATGTATGATATGTAAACATACAAATCATATTTATATACTTACATTTGTTGAACCTATTATAGAAAATTGCAACTAGGAACGCTAAAAATCGGCGAGCTCACGGCATAGCTCATACCACAGGGCGTACTAGTTTCTCTCAGATACGACATGAGGTTTACATTTTATTGTTTTATTTTTGTATATAAATAAACATTGTATATTTGCAAATTATTTGGATTCTAATTTTCGTATTTCTAAAAAAATGTAGATGACCAATAAGGGGGAGTCTACTGATAAGATGAATGTTTGGCTTATGACACGTAGAGCAGATGACCCAGAGGTTATCCAGACCTTGGTAGTTTCCAAACGCGTTTGATTATATTTAAAGTTTATTTTTTTATTTTTTGTGTCAACCATCTTAATTTGGCATATACTTGTATCTCTTATTCAATACAGGATGAGTTTAATGGCCAACTCTCTATGCTACCTGAGGATTGTCGGACTTTGGAGGCTAGGAATGCCATTTTCCATGAGTTGATAGGTCATGACAATCATGGATATTGTCGCACATACGGGAGAACTGTGCCTCGGAGAGCAGTGTATAAAGATGGTGCAGGGCCATCACAGTCAGCACCCCAGCCATCGACTATTGTTCAGATCACCCAGCAGGTTTGTGCGGAGCTAAGGGATGAGTTGAGGGAGGAGCTGAGGGAGGAGATGAGAGCAGAGTTCTCTACACATTTACAGCAGCTGAGAGCTGAGATGATGGCCTTTGTGTCACAGGGGGCAAGTGTGGATCCTAACAGACAGGTTCGATATAAATTAAATTGTTTGATAGTTAAATTGTCACACAACATTATGTATAAAAGATTAACACATTATGCGTTGACTATCATAGGCTCCTGATGCATCGAGTGGCCACCGGGCATTTAGGGAATCTGCAGAAGACGAGAATCCATATACACCACCACCAGAAGATCAGGTATAAAATGTAACTTTACATTCTAAGCTAAAATGAATTCGAAGTGTTAACATCCCAAAATCACCAAAAGGGGTCGGTTTAGCACGAAACTTGGCACACATGACCACCTAGGCACGAGAGACTTGAGGGAGAAGACGGAACTCTAATCGGGTTTCCGGTTTGGGAGTCAGAGACGAATTTCAATCTAGGCAAATTAGTTCTTTAAGAAACTAGAATTCGAGGTGTTAACGTCCCAAAATCACCAAAAGGGGTCGGTTTAGCACGGAACTTTGCACACACGACCGCCTAGGCACAAGAGACTTGTGGGAGAAGACAGGACTCGAATCGGGTTCCCGGTTTAGGAGTTAGAGGCATATTTCGGTTTAGGCAAACTAGTTCTTTAAGAAACTTAAATTCGAGGTGTTGACACCCCAAAATCACCAAATGGGGTCGGATTGGCACGAAACTTGGCACACACGACCGCCTAGCCACGAGAGACTTGTGGGAGAAGACGGGACTCCAATCGGTTTCTCGGTTTGGGAGTTAGAGCCATATTTCGGTTTAGGCAAAATAGTTCTTTAAGAAACTTAAATTCGAGGTGTTGACACCCCAAAATCACCAAATGGGGTCAGATTGGCACGAAACTTGGCACGCACGACCGCCTAGCCACGAGAGACTTGTGGGAGAAGACGGGACTCCAATCGGGTTCCCGGTTTGGGAGTTAGAGCCATATTTCGGTTTAGGCAAACTAGTTCCTTAAGAAACTTGAATTCGAGGTGTTAATGCCCCAAAATCACCAAATAGGTCGGATTGGCACACACGACCGTCTAGGCACGAGAGACTTGTGGGAGAAGACGGGACTCCAATCGGTTTCCCGGTTTGGGCGTTAGAGCCATATTTCGGTTTAGGCAAACTAGTTCTTTAAGAAACTTAAATTCGAGGTGTTAACACCCAACAATCACCAAATGGGGTCGGATTGGTATGAAACTTGGCACACACGACCGTCTAGGCACGAGAGACTTGTGGGAGAAGACGGGACTCTAATCGGTTTCCCGGTTTGGGCGTTAGAGCCATATTTCGGTTTAGGCAAACTAGTTCTTTAAGAAACTTAAATTCGAGGTGTTAACACCCAACAATCACCAAATGGGGTCGGATTGGTATGAAACTTGGCACACACGACCGTCTAGGCACGAGAGACTTGTGGGAGAAGACGGGACTCTAATCGGTTTCCCGGTTTGGGCGTTAGAGCCATATTTCGGTTTAGGCAAACTAGTTCTTTAAGAAACTTAAATTCGAGGTGTTAACACCCAACAATCACCAAATGGGGTCGGATTGGTATGAAACTTGGCACACACGACCGTCTAGGCACGAGAGACTTGTGGGAGAAGACGGGACTCTAATCGGTTTCCCGGTTTGGGCGTTAGAGCCATATTTCGGTTTAGGCAAACTAGTTCTTTAAGAAACTTAAATTCGAGGTGTTAACACCCAACAATCACCAAATGGGGTCGGATTGGTATGAAACTTGGCACACACGACCGTCTAGGCACGAGAGACTTGTGGGAGAAGACGGGACTCTAATCGGTTTCCCGGTTTGGGCGTTAGAGCCATATTTCGGTTTAGGCAAACTAGTTCTTTAAGAAACTTAAATTCGAGGTGTTAACACCCAACAATCACCAAATGGGGTCGGATTGGTATGAAACTTGGCACACACGACCGTCTAGGCACGAGAGACTTGTGGGAGAAGACGGGACTCTAATCGGTTTCCCGGTTTGGGCGTTAGAGCCATATTTCGGTTTAGGCAAACTAGTTCTTTAAGAAACTTAAATTCGAGGTGTTAACACCCAACAATCACCAAATGGGGTCGGATTGGTATGAAACTTGGCACACACGACCGTCTAGGCACGAGAGACTTGTGGGAGAAGACGGGACTCTAATCGGTTTCCCGGTTTGGGCGTTAGAGCCATATTTCGGTTTAGGCAAACTAGTTCTTTAAGAAACTTAAATTCGAGGTGTTAACACCCAACAATCACCAAATGGGGTCGGATTGGTATGAAACTTGGCACACACGACCGTCTAGGCACGAGAGACTTGTGGGAGAAGACGAGACTCGAATCGGGTTTCCGGTTTGGGAGTTAGGGTCGGATTTCTATCTAGCCAAAATTATTTACTTAACTATCTTTGTAATTATATAGTAATTAATTTTTTATGTTTTTTTGTAATTAAAATATTAATACATAATTATATTGTCACTAATTATTTTTATTTTTTATTTTCAGATATTTCCTGAGTAGCAGTTTGCTTCTTGTGGAATGCAGCCGTGTGAAGATTGCGACGGACTTTTGTTTATGAAGAAAACTTTTATTTTTGATTTACGTTATTTAGATTTGTGAACAACATTATGTATGTATTATGCAAAATTATGTGGTTGGATAATTTTGATGATGTGTTGTTATGAATGGAAGAGTACTTTAATTATGGATGAAATTTTATTTATATACAGGAATTTTTATATTATTATATAGTTATCGATTTTTTTTAGTTATTTTTATTTAATACAGGTAATTTGCATATTTTTAATAATTTTAAAACTGCATTTTTTGTTAGAACTAGGTTTTTGCGACGGTAGCATAGCCGTCGGCAATGATATTGGCAATATGAACAAAAGGCCTTTAGCGACGGTACTTTCACCGTCGCAAATAATATTTTTAGAGACGGCACACTTTTCTGTCGCAAATAACAGTATTAATGACGGTATTAAACCCGTCGTAAATAACCATTTTTAGCGACGGTATTTTAGTGCCGTCTCAAAAACTTTAGATTTTTACACATTAACTGCGACAGTATTTTGCCATCGCTAAAAGGCATTTTTGCCGTCGCCAATATTTTTGCGACGGCGTTTACCGTCGCTAAAGACCTTTAGCTACCCCTTTTTTTGCGACCCCCCTAGTACCGTCGCTAAAAGCTATTTACCGTCACAAAAAAGCATTTGAGACGGCTTCTTTGGTATTGGCGACGGTATTTTACCGTCGCAAAAAAGTGAATTTTTTGTAGTGTCTAGATTTTTTTTATATATTAATTTCGCCTTGTATTTATTCTATGCAACATGTACCCTGTATATAAACAAAATAATAACAATCTAAGAAAAATTAACTTTTAACGTCAAATTCAAAATATAATAGAAATTCCATACAAACCACGCATAATCCAACTTAAAATAATAATTCTATACAAAACACAGGATTATACAAAAACCATGTCTTTCGTATACAAAAAAAGAAATATCCACAATACCATGTCAAATGGTAATCTATACCATGACAAATGTAATATGTTCTATGCCAAAAGTAATTTGTATCGCGCCAATAGTTATCTGTACAAACAATTGTAATCCACAAAAAAACAAAGGACAACATAATAACAGATTATAAAGAAAATAAAAAAACAAGGTCCTCCGCACACAAAAAAGGAATATCCACATTTCTACGCCAAAAACCATCCGTAAAAATAAAATTAACCATTAGTGTTTATTGAATAACGTTATCATTTCAAATTACAAAAGGAAATTATATAAAATTTGAATGTATATAATCTTTTCAAAATTGAATAATTAGTCGTAATCATATGTTGCATGTCCAGACAAGTTTCTCCCAAGTTTTCTCCTCCTGAAATGTAATTTTTCAGTTAAGTTTAAGGCATTTTCAACTTTAAGTCCCAACCTATGTGTCCTACTCACAGACTGTATGTCCCCATATGTTCTATTAGGCACGAGGAAGCTGCCCGCACAATCCCCAGAGTGGTTCGAGATTGTTTGCATTTTTGGCCCCCCAATGGACTTTTTTTAACTAAGTTTAAGGCGTTTTTTACTCTAACTCTCAACATACGTGTCTTAATTACGTCCCATATGTCCGAACAGGTCGTACTTGTCATGAGCAAGCTATCGGTAACATCCCTAGAGTGGTTCAGGCACTGTTTCGTATTTTTGCCACCCCAACGCCCTTTTTCAACTAAGTTTAAGACGTTTTCAACTCCAACTCCCAGGTTGTATTTATCACAGGTCGTATTTAAGATGTTTTCAACCTACGTGTCCTAATTACATGTCGTCTATCCCCACATTTTGTATTTATCACAAGTAAGCTTCCTGTGACATCTCTAGAGTAGTTCGCAGGCTGTTTCGCATTTTTACCCATCGGACGCCCTTTTCGACAAAATTTAAGGGTTTTTTACTCTAACTTCCAACATACGTGTCCTCATTACGTGTCTTTTGTCCCCACATGTCGTATCTGTCACGAGCAATCTTTTCGGGACATCCCCAGAGTGGTTTAGGGGTTGTTCCGCATTTTCACCCCCAAACGCCCTTTTTTGACAAAGTTTAATGCATATTTTACTGTAACTTCATGTCGTCTATCCCCACATTTTGTATTTATCACAAGTAAGCTTCCTGTGACATCCCTAGAGTAGTTCGTAGGCTGTTTCGCATTTTTACCCATCGGACGCCCTTTTTGACAAAATTTAAGGGTTTTTTACTCTAACTTCCAACATACGTGTCCTCATTACGTGTCTTTTGTCCCCACATGTCGTATCTGTCACGAGCAATCTTTTCGGGACATCCCCAGAGTGGTTTAGGGGTTGTTCCGCATTTTCACCCCCAAACGCCCTTTTTTGACAAAGTTTAATGCATATTTTACTGTAACTTTCAACCTACATGTCCTAATTATATGTTGTCTGTCTCTATAGGCATATTTTATTGTATAAGCCAACCTTAACGAAGTAAAAATATGAAATTGAATATTCTAGACCCTCCTAAAATAAGAAAATTTGTCATACAAAACGCTTGCAGTCATTAAAACACAATGTATTTATTTCATCATACTTGCATAGAAAGTTTAGGTCCCACAAACAGCCAAAGAGCATGTCTTCAATTAGAAAGAAATTTAATTATGTATCTTTGTATGTACACATAAAATATATGATATATCCTCATAATTCAATCCAAGACAGTCAATTATCCTCTTCCTCTTTCTATACCTCTAGTTAGAGGCTTCATTAATAAAAATGCAATTAATTAAACAGGACTCACACAACAAAAAAAAAAAGGTAAGACACAGAAAGGACAAAATGCTAATCGTGAAAAATCAGTAGAATTTAAATCCTTGACCACTTGTGAAATAAAATCCTTGATCACATTCTAAATTCTTTCTGATTGGAACAAAGAATGGTAATAAATTTTGCCTTATCAAGAAAGAAAGTGGAATGAGAGAAAAATAACATGCTATCAGTATATTCTAGCAACTCTAAGCTCATGAGACAACCCAAATAGTAAACAAACAAAAAACAACTACAAAAAGTTAAAGAGCAATTCAATTAGAATGGAGAGTAACATGTCAATAGAAGTTCAAAATTATGGATCAACCACATGTTGTTTGAAATAGAATCAATATGATAGTCACATGCATGAGCATAAACCCTTCTATATCTTGCCATAAGGCTAGTCTCATGGCTAGGTACCTGTAAATTGTAACAATGAATGAAATAAATGAATGTTACTGACTTCAACAGTGTACCAAATACCAATGTGTATATTTTTTATCATACATAAATAAATTATATGATAATTACTTCACACGAAAAAAATAGACATATGTACAGACACATTAGTGCAAGACAAAACAATGCAATTTTGATAGTCCAAGTTTGAAAAATAAATGAATGGTTGTAGCAAAAATCTCTATCCTGCAGTCTCACTTCTGTTTCATAAACACGCATAAATACATATCTATATGATGATTACTTGTAAAAAAAATATATATTGTTCTTTAATTAAGTTCATATTCGAATCTCTTGTAGACGGACATAAAGTACATATTTATATATTAGTTAAAAACAAAACAAAGTAATTTTGATACTCTTAAGTTTGTCAAGTAAAAGGTTGTGTTGTGCCAAGGCAAAGTCTGCAATCTGTAGGTTCCTGATTGTGCACCTTGCATCAATCCTTGTGCCTTGATCTTGATTAAAGATAGGCACCATAGGTGTAACTCACAGAACCTAGCTACCTCATTTTCCTTTTCTTTTCTTTTTTCATTTCCTTCATTTTATTTTTCTGAACCTTTTGTACAATTCCTATGTGCTTGTTTCAGAAGATGGCCAGGCTAATTTAAAATTTTCTTTCAATAAGTAAGTTAATTTGAGAGTATTCTAAGAGCTTTTATCTAGTTTGGCATTAAGCTTAAAAAGCATAGTGCTAAAATTGCTTGGGATAAGGTGTATGTTCCAAAAATGAGGGTGGCATGGGCTATAAGTTTCTAGAGACTTGGAATAAGGCTGCTATTGCTAAGCATATCTGGTTCCTATTTTCAGGTGGGGAGAAATCAATGTGGTGTCAATGAGTTAAATCCTATTTACTCAAAGGCAACAGTTTTTGGAAAGTATAAGTCCCTAATGACCCTCTTGGGTCTGGAGAAAGATTCTATCCCTTAGGAATGTTGTCTCCTCTCTGATAACCAATAGGATTGGGAATGGTGATTCCACTTTCTTATGGTATGATAATTGGCATCCTCTTGGTCCCCTTTGGGACAAGTTTGGGGATAGAATTTTGTAGGACTCTTGTCTCAACAGTGAGACTAAAGTCAATCAAATTGTTGATGGTGAGTCTTGGAAGCGGCCTATTCCTAATTCTTGGGAACTTAGGGAACTGATTTCATCTACTCCCTGTAGTTGTAACCCTGATCCATCTAGAAGTGATCAACCTATTTGGAAGTTAAATCCTGATGGTAAGTTCACTATCAACTCTGCTTGGAATCATTGGAGCTATAAGTGTGATAAAGTTACTTGGCATAAGCTACTTTGGGGACCCCACATGATCCCTAGAGTTAGTTTTATTGTTTGGATTGCTCTTCATGAAAGATTGAATACTGGTGATAGGTTACAACAATTTGGCCTGACTCTTAATTCAATCTGCCCTTTCTGTCAAGATCATGTTAAGAGTCATTCTCATCTCTTCTTTAATTGCATGTTTTCTGCTAGGGTGTGGAGTGCTCTCAAAACTAGGTGCAATGTGAATTGGCCTGAACTTCATCGGCCTAATTTGATTACTTTGGCTACCAAAGAAACCAAGGCCAGATCTTTGAGACCACATATTCTTAGACTGTCTCTGTTGTGCTCTATTTACCATATTTGGCTTGAAAGAATAATAGGATTTTTAATAAGAATTCAATCCTGAAAAGGTGGTCATTAAATCTATTATTCATATGATACTAGGGAGACTTTTATCTATTAACAATCTGCCTAGATCCACAGGTGATGGCTGGTTTCTTGCTCATTGGAACCTACCTGTGACTGTTTTGAAGCCCATATGATCAGTAATGGGGACTGTCGAGTGATGTGAGTTTTCTAAATGAGAGTTGAGTGAAGGTCAGCAAAAATGTGTGTTATTCTAATTGTTTGCTAACTTGTGCAGTAGCTTGAGGAGCTCTATAG